AACATGCCTTGGTGACCGAATTCCCGGCAACCAAGTTCTGGCACTGCAAAAAATTCGTGAACGACATCACGGATGCAAATGAACAGAAAGAAATAATTACCTGCGAACACAACCGCGCTCACAGGGCAGCTCAGGAAAATGTAAAGCAAATCCTTCAGGATTACTATTTTCCAAATATGTCCAAACTCGCCAACGAAGTGGTTTTAAACTGCAAGACATGCAGTGCTGAAGTACAACAGACACCCCAAGAAGCAGGAGTTGGGTGTCACGCCAACCCCTCATATGCTGGCGAAATGCTGCATATAGACATATACTCTACCGATAAGAGGTTTTTTTTAACCTGTGTAGATAAATTTTCAAAATTCGCTGTAGTACAGCCATTACTTTCTAGGGCCATAGTCGATGTGCGCAGCCCTATATTATAGCTAATAAACTTTTTCCCAGACATTAAAACCATATATTGCGATAACGAGGCGTCTTTTAACTCGGAGACTATAACCTCACTATTGAAAAACCAATATAACATTGACATTGTTAACGCACCCCCCCTACACAGCAGTTCGAACGAGCAAGTGGAGCGATTCCACAGTACCCTAACTGAGATAGCTAGGTGCATGAAAATCGACCAAAAGGTCGACGATACCGTAGAGCTTATTATGCGAGCCACGGTAGAATATAACAAGACTATACATTCAGTGACAGGGCTGCCACCCATACAGGCCTTGCACTCAGCCAATGCCGAACAGAAATTGGCAATAATAAATAATATGAAAAAGGCACAACAGGCCAATCTAGACAGGTGCAACCCTACTAGACAGAACAGAATTTTTGAGGTAGGAGAAAAAGTATACCTCAAAAATAACAAAAGGTTAGGAAATAAACTAACCGCACTGTACACAGAAGAGCGTGTACAAGCAGACATGGGAACGTCTGTTCTTATTAGAGGGAGGGTGGTCCACAAGGACAACCTTAGATAAAAAGTACCCCTCAACTTTCTTACATTTTTTACTCTATTTTCGTAAACACTACACATTAGCACACTTACTCCATTTTATTCATAGTAGGTTTAACCTTTCGCCTTCTTACAGGATCGTGGGAACTTTATTGATAACGTTAACTATGGTTAACGCTAGGATTACGGATTATTCGCACGCTCAGTATATCCCAATTACGGACGGAATTGCGTTGGTATGGGAACATAGAAACTTGCTTAGACATTCAAGTAATTTGTCCGAATTTTCAATTATAGTAGAAGAAACTACCAGGTTGTCCGATTTATTCCCACAGTCTCATATGAAAAAATTGTTAGACGTCGACACCGAACATGTTAGAAGTTTATTGTCTGTGTTAAAAATACACCATAGGATGGCCAGGAGCCTAGACTTCCTAGGCACCGCACTCAAGGTAATTGCGGGCACACCTGATGCAGCCGATTTTGATATGCTAAAAATTTCCGAGGCACTCCTAATTGATTCAAATAACCGACAGGCCGTAATAAATACACAGACACAGAATAAAATTAATGAATTAACAGAGGCCGTTAATAAAAGGCCAAAGCCAAACAAAATAATATAGTTGACACTTCTCACCTGTACTAACAGAGGCCGTTAATAAAAGGCCAGAAATAGAATACTAATAACCGAGATTCAAAATGTTATGCTTACAACCACGCTTGCAAAGGCCAACATAATAACCCATCAATTTTTAACCAGAATGATTTATAGTCTGTATTTGTTGATCACCCCACAGAAGTCCCCATCATTAGCTTACTAGAAGCGTCTAACATTAGAGTCCTTCAGTCCGATAGTATAATCCATGTGCTAATCGCATACCCTAAGATTAAAACTACTTGTAAGAAGGTCACAATCTTCCCCGTATCACATCGACATACCATCCTGCAATTGAAGGAGAATACAGTAGCCGAATGCAATAGCGACGTCTTAGCGGTCACCGAGTGCGTACCAACAACTTACGCATCATTTTGCAAGCTTGCGGCCCATGACACTTGCGCTCGAGGCCTACACGCGGGGAGTACCGCACTATGCGAGACACAAGCCAGCCACCTAAGCCCCATCACGTTAGTGGACGACGGAGTAATAATAATTAACGAGTGCCCAGCTAAAGTCAGCACTGACGACGGCCCTGAAATAGCCACCAACGGCTCGCACCTTATCACTTTTGAGCCTCCGGGCATGGCGGCATCCCCGTTACTCAACATCATCGGCCAAGACCCCACGCTAAGCATGCCACTTCTCCAGAGAATTAACAACCAAAACTTGGAGGTCATCCAAGGGCTCAAGGAGGAAGTGAAATCGGCGGGAACTACTGACATCTGGTTCGCGGTCGGCGTGGGAGCCAGTCTTCTCATCAGCTGCTCCTTCCTACTCATCATGATGCTGAGGAGGAGACGAGACGCACGGGAAATCCAACAAGTTGTCGATAAATTCCAGATGACCGAGGACGATCATATTTCTAAGGGGAGAGTTGTTAACACTGTTAAGGAGAAATTATAAGTCGGTACACATCTTGGGTGATTATTGGATCACCCTAGTGTTTAATTGCAGAATCAGCATAAACATCTTTAGGGGCCGGGCCTGATTCTTATTGGTGAACGGTATGGTGAGTTATGTTGATTTTGCTAGTGTCAGCATTTTGGCTGCACGAACGGTCGGCTTGTCGGCCGCACTTAGCTTACGTAAATTCCTTTGTCTTTAGTTTTAATTTGGATATTCAATAAAGAGCATTTGCTTGAATGTAAAACTCCGGCATTGGCCGTCAACATTTATTCTATTAATTGAAATTGATTATCCTGCCTTAAGGGCCGTTAGCAACGGAGTCAGTTACTCCCAACATAATCTTTCTAAAAAAGGAGAGAAGAGAGCCAGAGGCAACCGCCCGGCTCACCCATATAACCAGCCAGTCACGGTGGCAATTGGAGAGTAACCCCTTACCCTCACGGACAGCGGCGAGGGACAGCGCGTGTTACACACTTAAGACATAATTTATAAACTTAATCGGAACAGCCTTAAAAGTTGTTGCACGTACACCCGACTTTAATGATTGGGAACAAGTAAAATTCAACCAAGAGCAATTAATGAGAGCAGATGAAAGACAAACAGAATTAAATATTAAGTTCCAAGAACGTTTGAACGAACTTTCGAGCGCTATCCGGTCCAGCACCACAACAAGATCCTAGACTTCGAAAACGGAAACCTAGTCGCTGAGTGCCCGGGACGAAACCTCAACATCGGGTACTGCAAGACGACAGTTGGCGCCACCTTCTGCAGGGAGCTCCAAAATAACAGCTGTGCTCAGCAATTGGTTTCTGGAGTTATTGCACACTGTTCCACGCTCCCAGGTCACCTGGATGCAATAACTGTGGTAGATCATGGCACCCTCATAGTAAACGAGGCCAACATGACCATAACCGATAACCAAGGACGAGACCGAAAGATATCTGGAACGTACCTCGCATCTTATTCAGACAGAATAAGCCTAAACGGAACTTGGTTCATAAATCAGCTGGGAGACTCAATGAAAAAACCCGCTGTGTCAGCCATGACCATGGTCAACATCACGACCCACCAAGCTCGGCTGAGCCTTCCCTTTCTGCACGAGTTGAGTCTGAGGAACCTCCACCACATTGGGACCCTTAGAGAAGAACTTTCCCTGGGTTCCTTCGTCAGCTACTCCCTCGCCCTACTCGGCTTCCTCCTGCTGTGCTCAACCCTTTGGCTCAGCTACCATCACCTGAAGAACAAAGTCCACGTCAACTCAAGAATTAACCATGACCTGGAACCATCGGGTCACCGGGACGGCGACCACTTAAAAGGAGGAGAAGTTAACACACCCAGTTCCCACATTGGGAAACTGCCGAGTTGCGGGCCACATCCGGTGGCCAACACACGGAATAGGGAAACTGCCGACTTTGCACTCCGGGGACAATCACCCGGAGCCCAGCCAGAAGTGGTCAACATGCGCGACGAAGAAACCGCCGACTCTGCACTCTGGGGGCAATCACCCAGAGCCCGATCAGAAGTGGCCAACACGCGCATTAAAGAAATCGTTGACTCCGCACTCTGGAGTCTATCCCGTGGTTCCCGGCCAGAACACTCGCGCAGCGAGTGATCGTAAGCGCCTGGATAAAATTGCTGATCCGGCACTTTGGCGACAACGCTGCGACTGGACGAAGACTTCTAGCTGCAGCCGGATCGGATATTTAGTTTAGTTTTAAATCATACTCCGCAGCCATAGCTGTGTAATAAATAATTATATCAATTATATCACACTGTTTATATTATCCTTTACCTTAACAGGTTTAAGTGAAATAAATAAAAGAAAAATAATTAAACCAATCTCTTATAAATGGATCCTTGCCCCAACGGGCTTGAGTGAAATAATACAATAAAGGTCGGTACTAAAATAACTTAGACGCCATGTCATCATGGAAAGACATACAAACGAACAACCATTGCCAATTGTTGAAACTTATAAAAATTCTTGATCTATGAAAATACATTTCAGCGACGATACCCATTTCTGGCTAAACGGATTATGATCAGTTAATTTCTATATAGGAATCATGCGATTTAAGGCCCCTTGACTATTTTTTGTGGGTTATGTAGACTTTATTCTACGTAGACAAGCCGAACATGGTTAAATCCTTACAGGATAACATAACACGCGTGATTCGTTGAATATAGGCAGAAATGTTTGAAAAAGTGATGCGAAAATGGACAGAGAATGAAACAGAGCCGCGGTCATCATTTACATGAAGTTATTTTTAAAACGTAAATGGCAAAGGCCAATTTATAGATTACAATAATTTTGATTCAACTACTCTTAAAAAATCACCCTATAATTATTCTGTTAGTTTTATTGGCTTTTAATTACCTAGAGGAAATTAGTCCTCAAGAAGACTAATATTAAATATTTTCACGCAATTTTGTTTAAATATGCCATAATTGTTACAGGCTTGAACAAATCAAAACCATTTTAAGTTTAATATAACGAATTCAAAATATTAAACGCGCTTTTTACTATATTACAGTTTTGTTTAAATATTTACATTTCACAAGTTGACTTCTACAATTAAACTTAATTTCGGGATTATTGCCTGAAATCGCGATATACAAATTATTCTTGAATGAACACAAGTTCCTAATATTCAGCTAATACCTGCCGCCAAGTACTGATTCTTGTAATAATACACACATATACCTACTGCAATAGAAAGAGCCGATGTTAATATTAACGACTTAGAAGTTGAACTTTTTGAAAGCCAATGTCCTATGCTAAAAATTTGATTGGCCTTGGCTGGTCTTGACATCTGTCGGCGTCTATTTATCACCATATTTTCCTCAGCTACACGTAGCTTTTTCCTGTTTGAGAAAAAATATTTTGTTATTAAAATAATTATGTACGATTGTTCTACTTACTCTTGGCAGATAAGCACTTCAACATCGTTCTCTATTTCTGATAGGTTATACTTATTAACAAGCATGGTGGATGTTCTTAAAAGCTCTTCAAATGGTAAATTTTCTGGAAGCTAAAAAAATTCTGTTCATTTTTGTTTAAAAATGAGTTTGTTATATTATTAGTATACCGTTGATAAGAGGCAATGCACTGATGCCATATCACACTCCTCCTTTAATATTTCGTTTGATCGATACAGTAAAATTGCAGCCGTTAGAAAGATAGGTGTATATATAGGTGATGCTAGAAAATAGTCATATAAACGGACTACAGATTTGTACGAATTTAAACTATGCCCAAACCACGTCAAATACCATGGTAATGCGAACAAAGTCCCTACCGTTGAGCTTTTGCATAAACTTAAAAGCTCTGGGTTTTCAGACTTTATGACAGGCCAAATAAACAACAGACGTCTTTGAGTAGCCTCCATAGTCTCCTGCATACATTCCGAAAAATGCGTCGTAGAGAGCTTCTCCATTATCGCATAGGCAATTTCTTCGCCAACAACCAGTAGAAATGTGACAGCCACGTCGTGATAGCCTTGATAGTACCGTAAGTTAGGATACTTTTGAATTACTCGTAAAATAAGAACAGTAAGTTGGTCTTGTAGTGCAATTCGTTGATTATACGGAATGCCAGGTGGAAAACGTTTTAAAGAACGATTTACATCCAACACTACTTGATTATATTCAGGGTGGTATTGCAATTCTTTGAGGGTTGGAGCTCGTTCTAAGCTTTTTACATCAACACCTGCTATCTGTGGCCACAGAATTCGTCGAAAATGGTCGTTGACCAGTCCGTACGGAGTCAGGCATAACTTGGCAAGTACATCCAGCGAAAGGTTTTGGTCAATACTTTGCTCAATACATTTTTTTATCTCCCGTCGTTTTTTGATTTCGCCATCACTTTCGGGGGCTTTGAAAAATATTATTTATTTGTTTATTAATTCAAAATGTTTATTATTATACGCATTCTTAATTTACTTACATTTTTTAAAATTAAGGGGTCGCTGGTCACTTGTTTTGTTCATTACTGAATTTTGATCAATTATTAATTTATTTATTTATATAAATCATTTAATTTAAAATTTTTGAAATTCCAGAGGACATATTTCTCTTGAATACAGCCATCAATTATTTCCATTGGTATGTCTAACTACATACATAATATTTATAGCAAGTTCAGACTTCTGATTTTTTTTCGGCGCTTTCATTATACCCTAATTCCACAAAATTCGTCTATCACTTTCTATATAATCCATCAGTGTTATGGCTAAGCTGAAACTTTACTGAAAACTTTTTACCTCAGAAAATGAAATATGTACATGAAAATATTATTTTATAAGGTTTCCCTCAATTTTTTCTCCTCGAATTGTGCATTTTTTTTTTTTATATTTTCTGTTGACGAATGTGAAGACTTTTAGCGGCAGAAAACTGCAGTTTCGTCGGAGAATGTTGATATAACCTTTTGAAGGCTATGGGAATGTCTGTATTGTAAAGGATGTACAAGATAGGTCGTTTTGGTTTTAGCTTTTTTTAAATAGTATTTGAGATATTTGTAAGCTTAAGTGGTCGAATGCTTAGACTAAGCATGCAAACTACTCATCGTAGGTTTAGTTCAGCATTCTATTACGTTCACTCTAACTTCCACAAACGTCGAAAAACCAAAATCGCTGAGATTTCAGGAACTATAATCTTACGCTTACAAAACGCTTATTACGGTAGCCGCATTCTGTAAGAACGCTTAGTTTAGGGTTAATGTAAACAGCTCATGATACCAAATTGCGTGCTTATCTGATTGGTTGAGTGATTCTTAGACGCACTGCATTATATATTAGATCTAATTCTTATTTGCATAAATAATAAATGCATAATTGACAGGACGCTCAATTACAATCTAACCGTGTAACCTCTGAATTACTGGGCGCAACACATGACGACCGAGATAGAACAGCTAAGCAAAAAGAAAGGAATAGCCTGGAAGAGGGATTATGACTGGAAACAACAAGCGATTGAAACGGCAATGACACGGAACCTGAATGAGAAACCAGAAAATGAAGAAAGGGATAGCGCACATAAAGTGGCTACTGAGCTGAGCTTGATTTGTTACAATGAACTCCAAAAAATAATCTCCCAAAAATCACCACTTACTTAGGATAAATATCAATTATATAAATGAAAAACCACTAATAATATCTGACGCCGATCTAAATCCTATCGGTCGCTATCGGAGTGTCTGTGTCACCAATCTTAACGTTGCCTTAGACCACAATCAGTGTGGCCACATAAAAAGAAAGTGTAAACCGCGAATACAATTCAAACTGACTGACTGACTTTCGATACTTATCAGACTACCTCATCCGTTCCGTGACATCCCCACCCCGTGAAGCAGCCGCATTCAAGACATCCAGGACAGCTAGGTTCGAAGCGTGACGAATATTCCTTGTTCGATCGTCTGTCTGTACCGCCGCTCGTCTGGGCACTCCACCTACTCCAGTGAACACCCCCTCCACGATGCCTCGTTTCCACTCTCGTCGTGGTATGTCCGGATCGCCGATGAACACGAAGTTTCCTCGGCGCAGAGGCTCGACGGGCTCACACCATTTCTCTCTGCGGACAAGAGTAGGCAAATACTCCTGGCAAGTCGCCGCTGCCTTGATTGTCCATCCGTTGGCTTCCAGTCTGTCTATGTGCAGGGGACTCAGTATTGGCTGCATCGGTTGTGCACTCCCAAATCTCTCGCATTAGGAGCTTGGCGGTAACCATGTAGCTGCTTAAAAACCTAATCGTTTCAAACGTGGACATCACTAGGCTGAGGAACTCCCTCTTAGTAGGGATGCGCTCCCCGGTTATCACGTTGCTGGGAACACGATGGTATTTGACACTAAATCTAAAGTCATCTGTGGGCAGATGCCAATACATCCCAAACCCTTTTTGCTCGAATTCTGTCCACTCGACGTTCTCGTTGGTGCCTAGCGGATTTAAGGCTCTGACCACTCTCGCCGAGCTGGAAGAATTCGGCACAGATCGAATCCGGCGCTTGCATGTATTTCTCTTACCCGTTCACGGTCTTCACGTACTGCCCTGAGCATGACGAAAAAGCTGCTCCAATCGTCATCACTTTCATCTCGTAGATCTCCGGGTCTTTTCGGACATATCCACGCCTCCTCAGGAATCTCTGAGCGCATTTATCCTGTTGCTGTATTAATACTAGATGAAAAATTTCCATGATGTTCGCACAGACTCTTACGGCTCTTTCCCTTAAGTGGAAAAGGACAGCCGGGAGTGACTTGTAGTTCTGGGAGCCCTTCAGTACTGCTGAATTTAAGGACACGCCGTTCACTTTGGCTGCTGCGTCGAAAACTAGACGGATCTTTCCAGGCATGTTTGGGTTCCCCGAAGTGCGGCAGGTACCACAACTTGTCACTGTTGCCATAAGTGACCTTTTGCTGGTCTAGTCGTTGCGCGTATTCTTTCATGATGTAGTGATCCATAATTCCATTGTTGGCTCGAGAGAATTTTGTGTCGCGCTTCATTTTCCTCTCAATGTTGACGAGTCGCTGTAGTGCCATACCATAGCTGACTGGAAGCCTGGAAACCTCTCATGTCTTTGCACTACCCATCCTAGCTAGGTAGCTGCTGCATATGGTCCTCCTGAATTAAAGCTTCTAATCTGCAGGGGTATTCCTAGGTGCGCGTGATCCAGCCCAATAAGGATCCTTGGCGCAGCGTTGTTGAGCGGCTTCACTGGTAGGTGTGCGCTCGCCCCTGCGGTCTTCACATCCTCCCGACGTAAACTCTGCACCGGAAGATTTAGATTGCTTACTGCGTACAAGTTCCTTAATCCATGTAGGTTCGATTTTTCCGCTCCACTGATCTGCAGGCTAACCATCCTCGTATCCCTCCAGTGGCCACCGTCTGACTGTTGCGACCGTCTGGGACTACCGGCTTCGTCATGCAGCAAATAGTGATGCGTCCTCTGGCATCCGTAGACGTTGCACACTCGGCTCCTCTTGCAGAAGCGTGCCATGTGCCCGGTTTCAAGGCACGCGAAACAGATCCGATGTTTCTTGACAAACTCCATCCGCTACCTGACAGTGGTGTGATTGAATTGCTTGCAATCCTTGACAGCATGTTGCCCTTTACACATGAGGCAACCTCTGGGGTGGTCGTTGTATCCCGTCTGTTACTTGTCTTCCCGATGGTTCTTTTCTATGGAAACACCCTTCGCTTTGGGTCTTTACTGCTCACGTCTGTAATGGTACATACCAGCTTAGCGAGCTTACTTAACCACTCGCTTAGGAGCACTATTGCTCACCTTTGTGGCGAACGATACAACCCTGCCTATCTTGCGCTCCTGAATCGGCTGTAGCTCTTGCACGCTCTCCAGTTGACTCCGAATCAATTGCTTCGGACGTCCATATCGAAAGCGTAGCTGCTCCCTTACGACCTGTACGTTGTTCGGATAAATGAGCAATGATTGTTAAATCCGTCCTCGCTTCATCCTTCAGGGCTTTCACTAGCTTTCACGCACAGGCGTGTCTCGGATCTCTCCGATCTTATTTTACGTGGCGTGTTCCACACTGAAGGGATTACAACCACGGCACTCGAATATACCTCCAAGTAGGCATATAGTGCATGGGCAAGGATGGTACGTCTGCCAGCGCCCCAGACTAGAAGCTATAGCTATGTACATAGCGACCACTCTGGTACCTGTCGAATATGCGCTTGCCGGGCAACATACTCCCTCTGGATAAGAGACGAGGTGTATCTATCACCTCTGCCGCTCTATGGGTCGCAGCACCCGAGTTGTATAACGCAACTCCACGTCGAATCAAAAGATACTACCCGCGATTTAGGTATCAACCACAGCCACCACGATACTCCCACTAGGGGGCCTACCTCAACTGGTAGTGCTTGGACACTATCCAAACCCGTGGTACCGAAGTTTGTGGGCTCGGTGACCCACCCCTTTAGCTCCGACAAGCTCGGATGGGGGGCCCTGCCATGTTAGTCGCCTCTTACGACAAGCTATGGCGAACTGTGGTGGTATTCTTCGCCGCCAACCACACGGCACAGCTTTCACGCACACTAGAATATTGGTCATTCCTCAGTCCGACCTTCAAACTCTGGAAGATCAGGCAATCTGCGTGGCGTCCATCCATTTGCCAAGCTCGCTGTTCTATAGGATCCGGATGATGGCGTAGGTGCGACGAAATTGTGTTGTAGCTTCCGTGGTGCGTGAAAGTAGCCTTTTTCTGAGTGCAGCCTAAACTTCGTGTGACTTGTTGCCCTATCGCCGCATTACTGCCCAAATATGGCGGAAAGCTTCCACTCTATTGTGGCGGTAGATTTGCACTCAATTGTGCCGGTAACTGTTCATCGTAAGATAACGTCACCAACTCTGGTGGTCCCGCTGGCAGATTTTCACTTAAGCGCTGCCTTAACGTTGCGCTAACATATGGCGCCTGTCCTAGCGGTGTATTCGACGCACCGACGCCACTCGACCCGATACTAACGGAATTCCTGGCGACCATCGCCTGTCCTTCATTTGCCCTTGCCTGTAGGAACTCAATCCCCAGACTTGCGATCCGTTCCATTAGCGTCGCCATCTGTGTACTTGTGGGGTCCCTAGCCTAAAGTCGCGGTTCCGCCTGAGCAGTACTCATGGTGCGTCTTATTCCACTTTCCTTTGAAGTCTGTGGGCGGTGCCGTGCACCATCTTTATTCCACGCCGCGCCGGCTGGTGTGCCAGATGCTGCAGGTCTGGTTCTCGTAGCTGCGGTAGCCTTAGATTGTTTAAGTCTGGGGCTCCGTGTGGGCGACTGTGTTGTCGGCATGTCGCACGTTTAGCATTGTACGTACAATTCCAAAATGCCGTTAGAGTTCCTACTCAAAGCATGCAAATAAAAGCCGCCGATCTAAATTCCGAGAGTTCCCTCTAACACTTGGCATTTGGCACAGCGTAACCAACACTATACAAAGCGTGTGTGCATTGATGTTTTATTCTGTTGGGAAAATACAACTTAGAAATATCGTTAACTTAATATATATTTGACCTACCGCAGTATCTCCTCCCTCTTTCTATGGGATCGCTGATCGGAGCGAATACAATTAAAACTGACTGACTGACTATCGATA